AAAAGAAGAGAGCTTGATTCCAATCTTGTTTCTAACGAACTGGCAATTCAGCAGCTTCAAGCTGTTAACGTGGGAAAATGCTGTCGATAAGCCATTCTTGGGTGAGTCTCGTACGTCCGTTTTTTGGATTTCAACTATTCCTGCGTTATCTCCACCCAAAAAAATTCCACCTTCGCTGTTGTGGCTGAAATTACTTTTGGATATAACAAGGTTTGGCGATCTGATCTTCGTCTTTCCACCACCTGTTCGTTGAAAAGAAAAATAATTGTTTATGAACACAAATCAGAGCCTTGCACAACTTTTTTCTGACATAAAGCATGTCTGCGAAAAAAAAAGAATTAAGGGTAATTTCCTTCGATCGCGATCAGTAACTGACTTTTTAATTAGTATTCAAAACTTTTCATTAATTTCATAACATAATCAGGTGATGAAAGTAGTTATTAAATAAACTTTAGGCCCTTTGATCACAAAAAAGGCATTCCGATCCTTGCAGTGCAACTCTGCCCACCTCATTACGAGTAAAGGGGTGCATTTGACAGCCTCACAAAATACATTAATACACAACAAAACTCGATTATTCAGATCATGATCAAATTTTAAAAAAATGTTTTTAAAACAGCAAAATGGTGAATCATCATCCTCAGTAATGACTTATGTCCTTTTGTTGAAAATTGAAAATCACCAAAGGATCCATTAATGGAGTACTTTTTCTTGAAATGTCACCACCGATATGATCGATCTCCTAATGAAACAGTTCATTTCCTTAAACGTGTCTTTACAGAGGTAATAGGATTTGTTAATCACAAGTATGATTGCAGACAGAATCGGACGACACGAAGTCCTGTCACCAATCAACTAAAACTATGAAAAAATTTGAGGAAGGACCAAGACATCGGTTATACCTTTTCATAAAAAAAAACCAAAGTGAACTCGGCGAAATGCGAGAAAACGGCGCGCGCACATGACGCGATCTGTCCACTTAGACAGATCACACTGTCCAATTATAAGCATGACGCACACACTATCCTATAAGTGTCCAAATTGGGCTGGTGACAACCAGTCACTTTGGAGAATTTTTTCATAGTTTCGATTACACTAGAAATTGTGGTCAAATTCTTTCACAGGGAAGACGAACTGTAGAATTTGCCTAACCCTAACTGTGTGGCTTTAAGGATCTTTCGCAAACAGCGTCCAAATAGCATCTGGAGGCACGGTTCAAAGCCCGTCGAAGCCTAAAGCATATTTTTGTAATCGCAAAAATTGCAGTCTACCGACGGAGATCGTTGCTTAACCTGATATGTTTAAAATAATAGCTGAACTTACTTTTGATGAGGAACAATAGAAAATGCACCGTGTCGTCTTCATCCGGATATCCATACCCTTTCTCCAGCAGGATTGAGCTATTGCCAGTCATCCAAGCAGGACGGCTATACCATTGTAACATATGGATATCCCAGAGAGTGCCCTTTGTCTTGTTTGTTCCACTGTACACGTGGATAGCTATGCCATGCACATTGTGATAGATTAGCTGCAATCCTATCGTATATTTCGGTGGAACGGTAATTATGGCCTTGCAGGCTGCTCTGCTCCGTAATGTTACAACCAGATAATACACCACACTAGAGTCACTGATAAATGTTTCACTTTCAGTGCATATGTCCATAAACTTCTTCACGGTCGCATCTGCCATTTTTACCACGTGTGTGTTAAGAGCATTCCAGTTGTAACGATACGAAAATCCGTAGCCTTTTGTGTTTACGACATTTGTACTCAGGAACTCAATAAATGGAGACTCCAAACGTACTCCATCCGACTCGGTTTCAGCTATCGTTGAATTCTCGATTGTATTTGAATCTTTTAAGGGGTCTGGATACATAATCTGGAAACCAATGGAAGCAGAATTACTCACAAAGACACTGCTGATCACGTGACGTGGGAGGTCCACTCTGAAGGCGATTCCGGGGATAGTCAGGTCGTCTCTATATGGAAAACCTGCATATCGCACCTCAACATTGCTTAAGACGCTTTCCTTTGAAGTCACAGCGAGATGTACGCCAGCCCAGTAAGGAATTTTGCAACGGACATACAAAACATTTCTCGTGCATGATGAAGATGAAATCCAGTTCCTTTTGTTACAAATGGTGATGCTGTCTCCTTGATCTGTATCACATTTGACATTAAGTAGGAATATTTTCTCTTTTCCACTTGGGTTATGGTAATAAGAGTTTACCGGTTCGTATCCCAATTGTCTGCATACTATGTCATCTTCGTGTCCATAGGTATGCATACAAACTGGCATCCACGTGCTATTGATCCATATTTCAACTACCCCTTCCCACGGAGCGGGACCTCCGACGAGTCTAATGTCCTGTTGCAATGGTCCCCTTGGAAGGAACTTCACCCTTTCTTTTTTATTACCTTTTATGATAACCTTTCCTTGTACTAGGAAAACGCTCTTCAATGGAAATTCTAAAGTGATGTTTCCTTCGATAAACAAAACGCCGTCAGACAATATAGTGACGTCACTGATAACTCGGTAGGCATCACTTGGGTTTGTTATATTGAGGAAATGATTTAATATTCCTCCTAAGTTGTTGCCTCGAAGAAAACAGAGAGGTCTGACACCATCGTGTAATTTAGGGCTGATAGAATTGTAGGAATCTAAAAATGGATAATATTGGATCTGTGTAAGTTCCACTCGATCTTCAAAGTCAAACAATCGGTCTTTTATTTTGCATTCATCTCTTGTTCCCCACCAGTTTTCTTCCGCAAGAAGAACGTGTTCACGGTCTTTAAGCAGTGCTGCTAATTCGTGAGAGAACAAAGGGTTGATAAACGAATTATACTTTATGGTAACGTTGCCTCCTTTTACAGCTAAAACTGCCTGCGTTTTGGTACGAAGGTAATTGCTGGAAAACAGCTGGATTCTTTGATTGTCTAAAAACGTGTTATTTCTGATGGTGACACGGCATTTTGTGGGTAAAGTTTCGCAATTAACGAAAAATATGTTCTCCCCTTTATTCTTCAAAAAGATGTTCGATGAAACCTGCAGATTGAAGGGTGAGGAATTCTCATAGTAACAATTTGCTCCATGTCTTACTATCAGAGCAAGTCCACTGTTCTCGTAATATATGTTATTAGCCAAGACAGCAGATAACACGTACCATTCTGGGCCAAGGATATCCAAACCATTTTTTTTGTTTCCCTTTACTTTATTACCAGTGAATAAAAGTTGAACGCTCCTTTGCCACCGATTGTTTCCCGAACCGCAATCTGCAGGATAGAGCGTACAACCACCAAGAGAATTGTTGAAAATTGTGGAGTTTGCAACCTTAATGATATAGTTCTCTGGGCGTTGATCAATTCTATACGTGAGGTAAAACAGCACACCGTATTGACTGTTCCCTGAAACATTACAGTTTAGAAGATGAACTGAACGAAGACGTGCTGACTTGGTATCTAGAAACCACAATCCTTGTCGTTTGTTGCCACCAGCAATAAAATCCTTTAAGACAACTTCTCCTCCTTGATTTTCCAAGTAAAAACCATCCCTTCCGTTACCAAAAGAAGACGAAGACTCTATGTTTATGCTGGTATCCCCAAGTTCGAAAGCATAACCAGATCCGTAATTGTTTGAGGTAGAAATCTCCTCCAAGTTAAGTCCTCCTCTAAAAAAGTAGGAAACGGAAACTCCTATATTTGAGTTTCCATCAAATTTACAAGAGTTTAAATCTAATCTGGTATCGGATAATCTTGTAAACAGAGCTCCATTCTGCGAATTTCCAAGAGACAGTACTTCCAGCAGTCGAACATAGCAGTAGCGAAATGCCTGTAAATAAACTCCTTCACCGTTGTTGTTACGAACAAATTGCGTGTTGTAAATGTTGATTGTGGAGTTAACCTGGTTTAAGATGTGCAATCCTTGAGCGCCGTTTTCTTCAACAAGGCTGTCGGACATTTGGAATGAAAGAGTTCCTGCATCGACTACGATTCCTGTCGCCTGGTTTTTCGAAGATTTGACGTCGGTAAATTCTAAAGTACCTGTTGTCTTGGTTATGTAGAGTCCGTTGTAGTTGTTCCCTATCACCGTTGTCCGGGAGATACGAGAATCACCAATCAAGTTGTCAACGGTAATACCAGACTTAGCATTGTTAGAAAAGGTACTGTTGGATATTATAAGTGATGAAGTCCCGCCTACAAATGGTCGAAAGGAAATGGGTTGGTGTTACGAAGAGCATACATCATCCAAAAAAATTTATAGACTTATTGGGGGCAGTCATTTTGTCTTCGTATTGAATAGTGAATTACTTCTTTTGCTCGATTCTTTATTGAGTAACTAGCTTAACTATTGACCAACTTACTCAGCGACCGACTGACTGATCGAAAGAACCTCCCACCAAAAGAACAGGTAAACGACCGAATGAGCAACCGACAGATCGACCGAAGGACTGACGGACCGACCGAACTGTTCAAGCGAACAGCAGATAGACCAATTCGTCTTACTTAAAGACATAACTAGAAATAGAGCTACCTTGATCTTCCATAACGACCATTTCCAAGTTGAAACTGCCTTTAGAGTAGAAGGAAAGTTCCAATATAGAAGTATAACCAGTCTTGAATGTCCTTCCATTGTGGCCACTTGTGATTCTGTACAGTTGGGTTTTGATATCTGTGCTTGCATCGGTAATATTAAGCTCGAATCCACTTCCATTTATTATTCTAAAATACACAGAGATCTTTCTTCCTGATGAAGCTCTGAAAATCTTAAGAATGCAAATTTTTTTTAAATTCATTTCTTTCACTGGAAGAGTTTTGATAAAAAAGGAAGCCGCATACAGATAAATGTCTCTAGGTTACAAGTTACGGCTATTCCTATAGAGGTGCTCAATCGGGTAACTCCCTTCCATGAAACATGGCTCAACATTTTGACTATTTAGATGTCTTTTACGAATACTTTCCTTTTGAGGAAAAATATCCTAAAAATAACATTCGACAGGTGCGAACTTACTTAGTTTGACAGATGAAAATGGAAGAAGAGGCATTATCTTCCTCTACCCTTCAAAGAAAACTTATTTTTTCAATCGTTGGCTATTAGTTTTACATATTTGAAAGCTGGTGTCTGCATATAGGGAAGACTTGATCTTCCATCTACCATATGGAAGAATGATCTCCCCTATTGTACATGAAAAATCCTCCCCTTCGTAAAAAAAAAAAAAACACCACCTATAACAAGTGTCCTGTCTAATTCACATTATTTCGATAATCATCAAAATATTTTTTTTCTTTCAAATCTAATTAAATAGCCAAGGATCCAGAACTTTCAGCTCATGGAGACTGCGTTGTTTTCCTCAAAGGATTCGCCGGGTTTGATAGAAAAATTAAATCCCTCACTATTGGAAGCTTGTCGTTCTACCTTATAAAATCTTGAATGAAATGTGTACCAAAATGTGACAAAAACCTGTACATTTTAACTACAGCTCAGGAAACTTGAACCAGAAATCGACTAAAAAAATCTGTTTTCGAAAAGGTGTTGGGTATTTATAGGTTTTCCACAGTTTACATTAGATTGGTTTTGAATTCAAAGTTTTTCCTTTTTACCAAATAACTCAGACATTTTAACTAAAACACTCGATCCTACCTTACTACAATTAACCGGATGATGATTTCCGGCGGCATTTAGGAGTAAAGGAAAAGAAGCTTTCTCTGGGATGACGGAACAGAAATTCACTGCCAGGCGCTTATAGATAAGGCCTCCTCCAAATCGTGCATTCTGAACTGTGACGTTTTCAATGACAACATCACCACAGGAGCTCTCGATGTTCACACCAGCCATTTTAGGCCCCAGGATAGAAGAATCGATCACAGCCAAGGGTTTGGCAAGTTCTTTTATATTTAAGCCGAAAGCACTACCGTTGATCATTACATGAAGTACATCTGGGGCGTTTTTCACGGCATTTACGCCCTCGAGAGCATTCTCAATGTCCACGTGCTCAAGATAAGAGCTTCCTTTCATCTCAGAGGAATTCGTCGGCTCGAAGTAAATACCTTTCCAGTAAAAAGTCTCGGCCAAATATGGCAAGAGAGTGTCACACTCGATACCAACATCCCGGCTGTGAGCTGAAATATGTGTCGTTGTAATGGAAAATAAAAGGGATAAAAATAGAAATGTGGTTAGTGGCTTAAAAGTAGCAAATTTTGTACCTTGACGCTTTTACGAAAGTCCTTATTGATATGGATTCTGGGAACCTGGACACAACCTCTTCCTCCCTTGATCTATGCTCTGTTTCTCTAAAAATTAATAACATTGTATTATAATTTCAAGTCGGGCGGGTGAATTGGCCATTCAGGACAATTTTATATTCATATGGAGAATTTAAGTCCTCTACCCGAGAGCCACACGAAGTGTTCAACTTCATAGCAAAAATTTCATGTCACGAAATCCAAATTTAACTCAGCCTGATGTCTAAGAAAATCAAAAGAAAATTGAAAAGAGCGTAAACCAAGCATTCAAATGCTTAGCGAAGTCTGAACTTGGGATCATTCATTCTCCTCACAATATCGTCACTGAATCTCACATTGAGGTCATGAGAATAAAAAAAATAATCACCAACTAACGAAACTCTTGATTGTTAAACAAATTCTCCTTGTCAGCATCATAGTGAATTTACAGAGAACAGTAAAGAGAATATGAATACTGATGTTAGGGTGTAAAGGCTTAATGTATACATCACGGACGTTTTTTGGGAGGAGAGGTTGTCTCTGGTACCCAGTTCCACAGAAACGGTGACTAAGACGTTGAGAAACCGCGCATTTGTCACCTGTACTTTATAACCAGTGAGATAGGATCTCAGTTTCAAAAAAATACTTTTTGTAGCAAAAGCTTGTCTTAAAACATGAATTAAATGGAATTTACCCGATAAAATGTGAGGGCATATTTCTATCCCCTCTTGTGCATATTCACCCCATGCAAAGTCACAAGGCAGAGAAAGATCTTAAGTTACTTTGGTTACATGGAAAAATTAAATAGTTTTGTCGTTAATCACTTGCTTTACGGCCAGAAAGAGAATATTTCCATGGAGAGGCACATGTGCAAACAACAAAAGCTTTGCTTAGGACTAAAATGAACTTACCACATGAATACTGATTACTCATAATCCATCTGTAAGAACAATCCCATAGACTCTTTTCAGTTCCTTTACAGCCAACTGTCTTCATCATCACGGGGCCGCTGCCGGGATCATAGTAATACCGCTTTCCCCCAAGGAAGCCAAGATGTCTGCAGGCCACGTGCGTATCTCTGAGATCCCAAGAACTCCAGTCATTGCAGACAGTCCCCCACCTTCCATTATACTGCAGCTGTAGGCGCCCGTTGCTGTAGGATGATCCATCTACAAGTCTTATCCCGTGACTGTAGAATAAAGCCCCGTCTGTTTTATTGCAAAAACTTGTTTCTCCACAGGGAACCGCTCGGAAAGTAATTCTCTGCGACGGTGTACCTTTTGCATGAAACGATCCACGAACACGAATCCCCACAGATGGAACAAAATTTAGAATTGCACCAGGCTCTATGGTTAGAGTGGCATTTTCTGGGACAATAAGGTCACTGGTGACCAAGTATGGACCATCTGCACGCGCAAGGGTCTGGTTACCAGTGACAGTGCCATTCAATTGCCGTGAAATATTTTTCTCGTTCTCACAAAGCCCATACCCGAGAAAGATGGCCAGTGGCATGCAGTATTTTAGAAACATCGTGCCGGTCTACTCTAACCTATTGGTAAGGAAGAATAAGGATGAACTGGAATCAGTAGACATAGTTCACCTCAAGACGAAAGAAACAGTTTTTTCCTTAATATTCGTCCTCTTAGATGATGTCACGAACCCCTCGTATCCCAACTGCTACATTGCAAACTTTGTCAAATAAGGATAGGGGAGTGCAGGGAAGGGGGAGCGCGGGGGGGATAATCCACGCTTCTTTTACAGTGCATTGGTACGTCCAATGGCTATGAATTAGGGAGAAGGCAGCTATACACCCGAGCTAGGTGGTTGGCGCTCTCCAATTGATGGGAGTAAAGCGACATATCCCTATCTGTGAATATATGAAAGTCATGTATTTGAACTGCGGATAAAGACGTGAATATTTCTGCGAAGATCACTTTCATATTCACATATCTCTATCTATTGGGAAATTGTGCATCGGTGGCGTAGTCGCAAAAGACTTGGGACGAAAAATTAAAGTTGAAGAAACTACTTCCTGCAATTGAAATTCTTCGCACCTTGCGTATGGAGATCGGGATCAGAGATTTTTAGCGAGTGCTTTGTTTTTTCTAGGGTATAAACTAAGTTTCCTCAAATACCCCTGAATGAATTTAAACTTGGTGTCATTCCGCGATAGGACAAGACGCGACAAGACGCTTTAAACATTAATTGCTTGACTAAAGCGAGATCTAGATACGTCAAGTTTGCATTGTTGTAACACTCGTAAGCTCTTGGAGATCATTCACTAAAGAAAAGGCAGCCCGAGAAAGTTTTGGTTTAGAGCGTGGAACAATGAAAAACTCTTAGTACTCTAAGAGGAGTCATCCCCCAGAATTTCGTGCAGTAAATCAGAATTAGCTTTACATCTGTACCTTGCTGAACCGTTGAGAAACGCTTAGTTCAGGTAAATTATTTTCAGTTAGTTTGGAAACGTCATGAAATATTCATTCTTCGTCGACGTTGACGAAGAATAGAGAATTTGTTCAAATATCTGCTTCAAAGGGCAAAGGATATGTTTCGTAATGGTAATAGGACCGAGTGGAATCCAATTCGGTCTGTAATCATACGAGTGATTAACAAAACCGGACGACCGCGAAGCGGGAGTTTAATTAACTTCTGTGTAATTTCCTGCAAAATGTCTTTCATTGGGACGTCGATGCAACCTTAAGCTCGTCCAACTCCACACTGAGTGAAGTGCAACGCTGTTCAAGTGACACAATGACGTCATTGTGAGTAATTTTGGGATAAGCAGCGCTATCACACAGCTGCACGTTACTCATGTTTCGTATATTAAAAACTCTATCTAAGTTCCCGAAACCACGTGTTTCGTGGTCCAATGTTGATTTCTGCGGAGTTGTCGATTTCAGTAGATCTCATTTTGAATTAATCAGCGTAATTGCGCACAATTACCAACATTCCGCTCATATTTGGTATGCTCTTCGGTTAAAGACTAATATTTAATTAAGCAAAGTTGTCTTACCTGAAGTAATTACAGCCTCCTTTTCAGCAAAATGGGAACAGAAAAATCTCATATCAGGTACCCCGAAATGCGCTTTGAAAACGCATGATCTTGAGGTATTGCACTATCCTGCTAAGTTATCTTGCTTTTATGTGAACGATGCAACAATTCAGAGAACTGTAGCCATCTTTGATTCGGAGACATAAGAGGTGAAGCGATGTCATATTAAATAATTTTCATCAGTCCAGGTTTCCTCACTTCGTGACACGACGCTCCGAGATTCGTCTTAAATTTTAAGCTTCAAAAGGGGCATTTTGACGGAATTCAGTTGATTTTTTCGTAAAAATATCGAACTTCTGGCAAACGAGGTATGTACTGATTTGTTTGACCCAGAAGCTAACCTAACCTGAGAATATGATCCGAATATGATCCGAATATGATCCGAATATGATCAGAAAATGTTCGAGTTTTGGCCACATTTGCTCTTAACAGGCAAAATTAAAAGAAGCGAAGTTTAAGCACGGAACCTAGAAGCTAGAGGTAGAGGAGCAGTGAGCTTCTTGAGCAGGCCCCCCATACTATTGCCATTATTATCACTATTATTATCATTATCATTATTATTATTATTATTATTTGTGGTAATATGATTATTTTTACCCTTTAATTATTGGTTGAATGTCAATTAGTCACTACATTTTTTAATCGTTTTTCTCTTGTGGAACATGGTACTCATAATTATGTGGGATGCGGCAGGTTTTCTTCTTTTCATGTCCAGACAAATATTCTGAAAAAGTATCTTCTAACGTCATTATTCAACCTCTCTTTCTTTTCGAAACTCTAGTAATTGTGCTATATCAGTAGCCACACGCAGTCTTAAGCTAACAATTTTTTTTTTGGTGAGGAATCTTTGAGGGCTTACTGGTGTTACAAGAATGCGAACATCACGTACTATCTTCTGTCACGCAATGTTCAAAGCTCGTTGACGCTTTTCGTTATTTCGTTGATAATTAGTTTCCATGGAGGCAAAAATAGGTAATAATGAGACAGGAAATCCCGATAGAGATCGATATCGGCTTTCTCGAATACAATCAGAAGCAGTTTAGTAAACTGAGGGCTCAATGATTACCTTGAACAAACACGAGCAACCGCTAAAAATGTATTGGTCACAATTGCCATATTTTCGGCAAGGGAAAGGGAAGTAGCTTTGTGTCCGTGCCTTTCCGAACTGTTTAGAAATGGCCATTTCACTCGGGGAATATTAAGGTATTTTTTGGAAATGTCTCGAACTGTGCATCCTTTGTTGATGTTACCTAAGAACGGAGACTACGTTACAATTTCCGCTTCGAAGCGGGCTGAGGACCGATATAGACTCGAATCAGTTGTAAAGATTAGCGCAGAATTATACTCCTCTGAAATCCACCTAGAATTAGTCTTTCCAATTTGCCACCCCTCTAAGGATACTTTTTCGTTTGTCTGTTCTCGGAACAATCCACATCGATTACTAATTTTCTTTGGTAACTAGTAAAGATTGTCCACAAAAAAGCTCTGAACACACACCGCACAAGTCAGACCACTGTGCCTTTCATCAATTTTTCTGATAGTTACAGACGAACAAATGGACTAGTTTTCCTGTAATTGAAGCAACATGTCAACTCTGAAGCTTGATGCAAAACAACACTGACGAAAAATATCAACGAGTTGATCTCTTCTCAGAAATAGAACACGTTTGATTAATCCACGAATGTCATGATATTCATACAATTATGTGATATTTTACATGGGAATTTTGCGACTGAAAATCGCAGTTGTTCTCGATACCTTTCGCCTTTCCTTTTACTGATGAGAAATTGCATCTTTGAAAATCCGCTATACAGTTCTATGGTGGAAAATGCCTCAGAGGAATCAAACGAAAACGGTCGTAGGTGATCAAAGCTAGTTTAACTTTTGGGCGAGTATAGAAACCCGCATATCAGTAGTAACAAATGGTAGTTCAATTTGAAATTATTGATTCGTCGCTTTTCCCCTGGTGATCAACTAAAATGTACGATGATCATTATAAGAGAGATGAAATCAACGTTTTGCACTGCAAGAATTTGTTCTTAAGAAGCAATTGACCCTATAAAGCAATTCCCGGAAATGTGGCCTTTACTAAATGTAATTAATGTGTCTCGCTTGCTTACAAACTTTACGAAGACGAATTACGGGGAAAGTATATTTCAAGCCATCGAATACCATTTCTACATTTAATTGAAAACCTCGGCGTGACAGTGCGCAAAGATCACAAGTTAAGTTGACTCAGTGCAACCTCAAATTAAACAGTTTCCTCATAATCACGAGGTGACTTGTATGTGTCCAAATATGATTAGGAAGTATATCTAATCTTAGAAACACATTCGATCTCAGTATTCAAACATACGCATCAATCATAGAACTTTTAGGTCTCTGCCATTTCTTTGGATTTCCATTTCTGCAGAGTATATTATTTCACAGTTTGTTCTGTTCGTTGATTATCTTCGCATCACACAATGAGTTAGTCAACGAGCATTGAATATTACAAAAATGGACGTCGTGTCTTTGTTAATCAAAAGCTGTGACCTCTTTGCTCATGATAGAGCAGCAATCGTTCATTTTAGCCCAAAGAATACCATGCTGTAAACCATAATCAAAATACTCCGTGCGATTAAAATACTTCGTGCAAAGAAGTTTAACAACCTAATTCTATGGGTGAAGTACTTCGTCCAGAGCGCCTTGAAAGTGATCCAAACAGAAGCGTGGCCTCCAAGGAATGGAATCCTTGGAAAATACCGTTCGACAATATTGTAGCAGCTCCTAGCATTTTTCGAAGTATGCCGTGAACATAAACTACATTATAGTACATTATCAATCTGGAGAGCATTAAGAAAATGAGAAACGAAAAAAATGGCCAGAACTAGACTCAAAAATTCAAGGAAAAAGAAGTACCAAATATCCAATTATTGTAAGACATGCAGAATTAACAGATAAACAAGTCCTTCTCTGAAAAAAACCAAAAATATTCTGAACATCTATCTTATCAAGAAGTTTGTTATTGACTACACAAGTATGTTAGAAAGGTTTGCAAACGTAAACATTGTGAGTAGTTCATGGAAAGCCGAACTGTCCAACTACAGTCAAGAGAGTGGCTTCTTTCCGTAACGTTTTTCGTCACATTCTGTAATGTAAGCGGTTTCAATTTCTTTCCAGACGGCAAGATTTCAAAGTAAGAAATTTCCCAGAAGATCTTTTAGCGTAACGTCACGTTGCGTAACTTTTCTATGTGATATCAAGGGTCGCCTTGGAACATTTGGTAGTTCTAAGAAATCAAGAGATTCATAAAAAGACATTACCGAGAAACGGTTAATAAACCGCAAATTCAAAACACTACGAAGACAAATGAACTCCTCAAAAAAGGCTCATCAATGTTATGATCAATGTTATGATGTTTCTGGCTCTTGTAGTATAGAATGCGATCCTGCGCCGATTAAACACGAGAAACGTCAACACAGCCCGGTTTCAA